GAGTTCAGCCCTGATCACCGCAGTGTCCCGCAGGCTGATTGGTGCTATAAATAGAAGCTAGGGAATGATAGGAAGCCAGTAGCTAGACACACCCGCCGAGAACAACCGACTGGGATACTTTCAGGTGTCCGTGCTGCCACTGGAAGCTGTTCTAGTTCCTAATAGCATATAAGGCCCTATATTTTTACATTGCTGGACCCAATCGACTTGGTGAGTAAACCCTTTGACCCTTGCAGATGGAGTAGATGCATTTCAAGTGTAATTAAGGGGAATTTTCTGAAATGAATGGCAGTTCTTTTCTTTTTTTCCCCTCTTAGGTAATCTTTAGGAATTACTTTACAGTTTACTGAAGACATATCCTGCTGAATCTTAGTCGTAATATCAGCTATGCAGGTAGCAGGGTCCCCTCAGAAGACCAGATGTTGGTGTGACTCATGGGAGTGAGCTAGCTCTACATTCATCTTCTTCCCTTCCTCCCACAGGACTCTCTGACCTCAAGTCTACAGTGATAGTTACTATCAGTTGTTTTTGTTCCCACGTGGTTCACTCCTGCTGCCTGCTACCCTGCCAACCCCAGGGGGTTGGTGCCTGAGACTTGTCAAGGCGACTTTGTATTGTTCAGACTTAGCTTAGACTTAGCTTCTATTCTACTCCCTCTCAGGTTTGAGTGTCATAGTTCAACAGAAGAATCTCAGCCGGCCAGGACACACCTTATTATACGGTAAAAGGACCTTACGGTGTATTTTGAGATGATTTCATACTTATCTTTCTGGTGATTTCAGCCTGGGAAGATAGGTAAAGAGCCTCAGGGACACATCAAAAGATCACTTTATTCTAGAGTTTTCCAAATGTTGGTTTCAGTTTTTCTTTTCTTAACTTTTAATTTTTTGGGGTATGGTTGTTTTCTTTTCGTGTATGTCTGAATGACGTGCCTGCCTGATTCCTGCTGATGTCAGAGGTGGGTTTTGGGTCCCCTGGAACTAGAGTTATAGATGGTTGTGAGCCACCATGTGGGTGCTGGGAATTGAACCTGGGTCCTTGGTGAGAACAAGTGCTCTTAACTGGCAAGCCAACTCTGATCCTTCAGCCTCTGCCTTCAAAGTTCTAGAATTCTAGGCAACACTGTACAAAGTTTGTATATAGTGTCAGGGATGGAACCTGAATTTCCTGCATGATAGGCAAGCGTTATGCTGACTAAGCAATGTCCCCAGCCCACTTGGCAAAGATGTTTTTAAAATGTTGTGCTTTAATAAAATGGTATCTTACTCTTAGCCTCCAGAGACAATGAAAACAACAGCAACTAGGTGAATCCCCAAGGAAAGGGATCCTTGGGATGACTGGTCTCTGTGCAGGTGTCCTGGGGAGGGGTGACAGGCAGTTCCCTGTTCCTTCATGGGAATGGGACAACCAGACCCACCTAAGCACCCCAAGTTCCCAGTAGTTGGTTGTCTCTCATTTCCTGTTGTTGGGGGCAAATAGTAAATGTTGGGTGAGGGAGGCGGAGGGGTTGTACACAGGGTTAGCTTGTTTGTCGGCAACATACATGCCCTTAAAATGCTGAACTTGCCTTCAGAGCCACCTCTTACCCAGACCTTAGAGAATGGTAAATGAGAGCTTTCAGGAATTTAGATTGTCTCTAACTTCCCCTAAACTTAATGATTAGGCTCGGGAGATGACTCAGTTGGCAAAGTGCTTGCTGTGCAGGCATGAGGACCGGAGTTCTATTCTCCAGAACACACAGAAGAAACAAAACAAAACAAAAAGTCCTCAAAAGGTACACTTGTAATCCCATCACTGAAAGGAAACAGTCAGCCCCCATCCTATTTGGTAAACTCTAGGGTGTGACAGCCCAGGTTGTCTCCTAGTCTCCATATGCATGCAAAGTACTCTCTCTCTCTCTCTCTCTCTCTCTCTCTCTCTCTCTCTCTCTCTCTCTCTCTCTCTCTCTCTCTCTCTCTCTCAAAAAATAAAAAGCCTCAAGGACCTAGTTTTCCTAAAAAGTCATAGGGTGTCCCTCATGTTTCCATCTGTTACCCCCTTCAATGTAGCTTCTTCAGAAATACTCTCCTTAAAGGAGAAGGGGACATATCTGTAAGACCTTGAAACTTGCAAGCTTCCCAAGTGATGGCAAGAAATGATTCTGCTCCATTGTTGAACTTCACTGACTGAACAGACTGCAATCTGCTGAATCCGAGGCACATGCAAAATTGCTTGTCTCACCTTGTCCTTGACATTGAGCTTTTTTCTGGAGAGGAGCTTTGTCTGGATGGGCCTTTTGCAGCATGTTTGTTTGTGTTTTGTTTGTAGGGAGCCTGGTCCTTTACTGGGGTAAAAGCATCTCTTGCATAAATGCTCTTCTCACTTCCCTTGAATACTGAAAGTGTGTGTGTGTGTGTGTGTGTGTGTGTGTGTGTGTGTGTATACACAAACACAGGATGATTGGGATGAATTTGCAGGGTGATAGACAAGTGTCCCTGGTCAGGAAACACCCCTTTTGTCTAATCAGAATTTTGGCTATCTCTGGAAGCATGAATGCATCAAGGTGGTGGGCCTTAAGAGGCTCCTCTCCTGCCTTCAGAACTTGGGATTCTAAGATGGAAAAGGATTGACCTCAGGTGTCCATTCCCAGCACCCCACAAACCAGGCTTGATGGCACTGGTCTGTAATTCTGGCACTTGGGAGGCAAAAGGAACAGAAGTTCAATCACTGTGGGCTCCATTGTGAGTTGGAGGTCAGCATAGGATTCATGAGACCTTTAAGAAAATGATATCAGGATCTGGAGACCTGGCTTAGCAATTAAGAGCACTTGCTGCTCTTGCTGAAGACCTGGATTCGTTCCTAGAACCCATGTAGTAGTTTTCAACCATATGTAACTCCATTTCCAGGAGATTCAGTGTACTCTTCTGACCTTTGCAGGTACCAGGCATACACATTATCCATATACACACATGTAGGCTAAATACACATACATATAAAATAAATCTAAAAAACAATCTGACTCCTACTAGTTTAATTGGTACAGGCTTAATTTATGTGTATTAAAGCTGGTGTTTGCTGAAGGGCAGTCAGCAGATGGAAGATGGCTGTCTGAAGATTGGTACATTGTGGTCTTGTGAGATCAAGCTGGATTTCCAAGTTCTGAATGAGGAGTTCACATGTTGCAATCTAGTACTCATGTAGGACACAGGGATCTTTAAAAGAGAGAAGTAGCTCACAGCCACTGGCCAGGCCAAATGACAACAGCCTTACCGTTTCTTTTTTCTTTCTTGTGGTTTATTTTTGAGACAGGGTTACTCTGTGTAGCTTTGACTGTTCTGGAAACTTGCTCTGTAGACCAGGCTGGCCTCCAGCTCACAGAGATCCACCTGCCTCTGCTTCCCGAGTGCTGGGATTAAAGGCGTGTGCCACCAACACCCGGCATGCTAACATTTCTTAGTAAGAACTCTTGAGTCTTTGGTTGAGGCAGGATCATGATGGCAAGAACTTTCTGTGTTAAGTATTGAAGGAATATTAAAGCTTGACCAAGAAATAAATACTGCTGGCCAGAGAAGCAAGCTCAGGGGCTCCAGATCTCCTTCACCCAAGTGGGATGCCATTCATCCTCCTGCTGTTTCTGGAGACAGTTTACACCCGTATAGAAGTGGTTAATGGAGGTGGGCTGGCCATCATCTTCTTCTTTTGTTTGTTTGTTTTGTTTTTTGAGACAGGGTTTCTCTGTCCTGGAACTAGCTCTTGTAGGCCAGGCTGGTCTCAAACTCACAGAGAGCCGCCTGCCTCTGCCTCCCGAGTGCTGGGATTAAAAGTGTGGGCCACCACTGCCCGGCTGCCATCATCTTTTATGCTGTTCCTTTTGACATTTTTGCTCTGCATCTAAGGGTGATCCTCAGAGTTTCTCAGAGAGACATGTAGGAATCAGTGAATAAGAGAGACATGGAAATGGAGCCAGTGCGTGCTCACTGCTCTCTGTTTGAGACTGGAGGGATATGTAAGGAGCCCTGGTCTGCTTATGGGGACTTGCTTGGCATAGGAGGCCTTGGCCAGAAAATAGAGCCATTATACATATCCTAGTTATCTTACACTACCTGGATCATGTGAGAGGAAAACCTCTGTTGAGGAATTACCTACATCAGATTGGTCTGTGGGTATGTTTGTAGGTGATTGTCTTGACTGTTAATGTAGGAGGGCCTAGCCTACTGCTGGCAGCACCATTTCTTACACAGATGGTCCTTGGCTGTATAAGAAAGCCAGGTAAGCATTGGCCTGTGAATATTCCTCCATACTTCTTGCTTCCAGACTCTTGCTCCAACTTCCCTCAGAGATGGATTTTGACCTAGAAGTGTAAGCTAAATAGACTCATTCCTTCTCTAAGTTGTTTTTGGTTAGCATGTTTGATCAGAAAAGCAAACGAAAGCAACCTGCTTGACAGAAACACCATCTTCAGTGGGACAGCAATGCTGTGTCCTAGGACATTGAAGGCTTGTGTTTCCTTAACTGTCTTTATGATTATTGTATCCTGTCTATAACATCCTGGGGGTGGGGTGGGGAATGGAAGAACTCTTGGTGGAGGAAGCTGGCAGATGCATCTTGATTTGGGTACAAGTGAGTTGGACAAATGCCTGTGTTTGGGAGGTGTTTGCAGACTTCCATGCTATTGCTGGTGCTGCACACATGTGACAGTTAATACTGCCAACTTGACAGGATCTAGAATCACCTTGAGGTCCCCGGGGCTAGTGAGGTACCGTAATGCTTCTAGAATGCTGTCTCCATAGAGGTTCTGGAGATTCAAGCAGGAGTGTGCCGGCTCTGCCTTTGAGAAGTCCAGATTAGGAAGACAGACATGGAAAACAGGGATTTCATGCTAATGGGCTTTGGCCAGAGATGGGCCGGGGGAGGGGGGGCGGGGGGGGGGATAGTCAGTGTAAGGGGACACAGGGATGTCATTGACATGTACAGGGATGAGAGGCATCGCTATAATAGAGTCTGCTCTATGTCTTTCCCAGGTTTCCCACCTCCTCAGAGAGCTGTCTGGTTGTGCTTCTTGCTGGATTGTATAGTATCGCTCGTGTTTAAAACAAGTAAGTTAAGCAGTCTCTTGCTTGGGTGTAGCCGGCTGAGATGGTTCTACAGCTCTGCCCATGGCTGAGGACCCTGCTTTCCATTAAGTGGAACATCTCTACTTTCACTTGATTTGTGAGCAATTTTTCCTCCTCCAATTTCATGTGGCTCCAGCTGACCTTGAACTTGCTATGTGGCTGAGGATTTCTGATCCTCCCACCTTCACTTCCTGTTGCCGAGATTACAGTTATGCTGGGCCACACCCAGTTTATGCAGCACTAGATGGAACTCAGGGTTTCATGCGTACCAAGCAAGCAAGCACTCTAACAAAATGTACTGCCTCCTCAACCTGACATGCTACCTTTAAAAGTGATGTTTTTCCCTTCAAGATAGAAGAACTCAAGTGTGGTCACTCATTTGTATAATAGGTTAACTCTGTTTGAAGAGTTAGAGGATAAATTCCTGGCTTACTTTAATAAATATTATTTTATAAATTATGAATATTGTCTATGTCTCTGTGAGGGTTTGTACATGTGAGTGCAGTACATGTGAGACCAGAAGAGGGTTCCAATCCCCCCCTAGGGATAAAGGGAACTGTGAAGTCACCTGATGTAGATGCTAGGACATGGACACAGCTCTTCTGCCCAATCAGTATACACTCTTAATTGTTGGGCCATCTCTCCAGCCTCAATTTCTGACTTTCTTGACTTGAGATTTTTTTAGAAGGCAGAAGCAATAACTTTGCAATATCTGTGCTTCCTGTTTAGACATGTTGAGCAAAACCTATCTGAGAAACTAGAATGTGTTAGCAATCAACTCATCAGAACAATATGGAGAAACCCTGTCTCAAAAAACCAAAAAAAAAAAAAAAAAAAAAAAAAGAAAAAGAAAAAGAAAAAAAAAAAGCCGGGCATTGGTGGTGCACGCCTTTATCCCAGCACTCGGGAGGCAGAGGCAGGTGGATCTCTGTGAGTTCGAGGACAGCCTGGTCTACAGAGCAAGTTCCAGGACAGGCTCCAAAACAATACAGAGAAACCCTGTCTCGGAAAAAGAAAAGAAAAGAAATCAACTCATTTATTACTTTTTTCTTTTTCCTTTAGATAGATGCTTTCTGAGTTTTGACTCTTTTTTTTTCACATACTTTTGCTTTGGAATCAAATAAACTTGGGATCAAATTCTGTCATCACTCATCGGGGAAAAATCAATTCATTCCCTGACCCTCAAATTCTGAATGAACAGAGCATTTTTTTGAAGCATTAAAAATAAAATGAGATACAAGAAATTATTTTAATGCTGAGATGACTGGAGCAAGTAGGAGATTTCACTCAAGCTTCTTGTGACAGATTGTGTTCAAAACTTAGGCACAACTAAAAATTTGTTGTATAAAATTACCTTTCTTGGTCCTTTGCCTGTAGGTGTGATAAAATATCCTGACAAAGGCAACTTAAGGGAAAAAGGGCTTGTTGGGCTCACAGTTCCAGGTTATAGTCCATAGCTGCAGGGAAGTCAAGAAGAGTTCCACGCTATAGTCCATTGAAGTCAAGAACAGTTCCAGGTTATAGTCCATTTCATCAGGGAAGTCAACAACAGTTCCAGGTTATAGTCCATTGAAGTCAAGAACAGTTCCAGGTTATAGTCCATAGCTTCAAGGAAGTCAAGAATAGTTCCAGGTTATAGTCCATTGAAGTCAAGAACAGTTCCAGATTATAGTCCATCGCAGCAGAGAAGTCGAGAACAGTTCCAGATTGTAGCTCATCACGGCAGGGAAGTCAAGACCAGCTCCAGGTTATAGTCCATTGTGGGTCTTGTTATATATACCATCAAGAGCAGAGAGCATTGATTTAATGTGCCTGCTAGCAATAATCTCACTTCCTCCACCTTCTTATAGTTCAGAATCCCCTCCTTAGGGAGTGGCACCATCCCCCAGTGGGCGGGGCCTTCCCACCTCAATTAACAGACTGGAGATAACAGCATACAAACATGCTCACAGGCCAACCTGACTAGACAATTCTTTATGGAGACCTCTTTTCCAGGTGATTATATGTGGAGAAGGCACAGCTACTAAAAAGAACTCTGCGGCTAAGACTGCACTGAAATATGCTACAGGGATCTTGAAAGATGGCCCGAGTAGTAAGGACTTGAGTTCAGTGATCCTCATAATGCCTGTAAAAGCCAGGCACGGTGGCATGTGCTTGGAATTCTGGCACTTCAGGGCCTGAGAGAATATATGTTCCAAAAAAAAAAGGTGGATGATGTATGAAGAATGATAGCAGAGGTTGTCTTCCAGCCTGCACATGCATGCACACATACACCCACACCCACAGAGAAACACACACCTATTAATGCACAAAGAAGTACTGTTCTGACAGCACTCACTGCTCTTGCAGGGGACTCAAGTTCAGTTCCCAGCACACACGTCAGACAGCTCACAACTACCTTAACCAGCACCAGCAGATCCAATTTCCTGTTCTGGCTTCGCACGTGTGGTGTACACTCACACACACACGTGTACACACGAGTACACATGCGTACACACACACACGCATGCACACACACACGTGCATGCACGCACGCAAATAAAACAACAATAAAATCCCCCAAAAGTACCTCCCAAAAAGCAGTTTAGAGAGTTTTTGTTGGTGGGTGGTGTCTATGGGCTAGCAGAGTTAACATCACCCACTGCTGTCTACATAGACTTCTTCTGGTCACCTCAGAAAGAGGAGGCCCCCATCTCACTCTCCTGTGGTTCCTCATCTTGAGTGGCATCCAAAAGCTCTGCCTCATGGTGGGCAAGAACTATTTTGTCTTCAGTTTCTTGGGGCTGAAACCACTGCTAGTGGCAAGCAAGCTCTTTTGCCCTAACTCTTGGGTGTGACAAGAGGGAATTAGTAGTTTCCTTTACCCAGCCCAACACTCTCATTTGAAGAACCTTTCTCTGTCCTTTCAGGGAAGCCTACAAAGCAAGATCCTACTTAAAAGCCCGAGGCAGGAAAGAACTGGATACCCACAATGCCAGGCTCATGGGGAGAACTGCTAAGCACGAACCCATTAGCACACATTGGAAAGGCTCATGGAGAGTATTCATTCTGTTAAAAATGGGAAAAGAATGGGAGGCTTGGGGTACAGCTCTGCAGTGGAATCCTTACATAGCATTCACAAAGCCCTGGCTTCTAGCCTCAGCTCCAGCTGTGCAGGGATCTAGGATATTCTTAGCACTTTTAAGGCATAGTTGACAGAAGGCCACAGTGTTTGTGGGGCTGTGTCAGGACACTATGTCAAGTCCCAGTGTAATGAACATTCATGATAGGGTAGGTGTGTGCACATTCATGTGTGTGAGTGAGGGAGCGTAGGTGTATATGGATGCTTATGTGTATATTCCCAGGCATCATATCCTGGGCTAGCCAGCCTACACGATCCCACAGATTTTTTTCAGTCTCTGCTTCCCAAACTCACCATGGGAACAGTGTGATTGCAGATTTGTTTTACCGGACCTGGCTCTTTAATGTGGGTTCTGGGGATCCAAACTCAGGTCCTGACACTGCATCAAGGGCTTTATCTACTGAGCCACTTCCCCGGCACTGCACAGCCTTTGGCAAATTCCAGGATAAGAAAAGTCCTAAGTAGAGCAATTGTTTTCAGTTTTGGTGTTCAAGTTGTCTGAAGTCTTTGGGAAAGGATATTACACAGATGTCTATCCATATATGAATCTGAGAGTTTCCAACCCATTTTGACCATAACACTTGAGCCATTTGCTGAATGACAACCTATCAATCCCTTTGGCCTGCTTTGTGAGGATGGATCTGGGCCGCTTAATGTTTTTCCTTTTTGGTGCTAAATTTTGTCAGTAGAAGGTGCGAGAGCTACCTTGCAGAAGGAAAGGCTTTTGCTTCTGGTCTCAAGGATGGGAAGGTTCTACACAATGATCTGTTTGGTTCAGTGTCCCTCCCTTATGGTCGATGGTAGCTAACAGCTTTTCTTGGCAAACCTGTTGTTGTCAGGGCTGGTAGAGTCAGAGCTTGGGTCCTAGCAGCCCTAAAAAGTGATACTTGGCCATCCATACTCTGTAGGCCAATTAAATAAGCCACAGTGAAAAGTAGAAAAGGGTTTATTCAATGTGGCCACACTGGGCAAAAGGACAAAGAGGTTCAATGACTTCTAAGTCTGTCTTTGTGGTCCTAACATGAAGTTTTGGTTTAAATGGAGGGCAAGAGTATGCATACTTAGGAGTCCTGGTCAAGATGTGGGCTTGCCATTGCCGGCCCATCATTCTCTCAGCTCCAGTGCCTCCTGCAGTCCTGGTCAAGATGTGGACTTGCTATCACCAACCCATCCTTGTCTCAGCTCCATTCCCTCCTGCAAGGTGGTCTGATGGGTTGTCAGCACAGTGTGAAATCTCCTTCCAGGAGACAAGCTGACACCAGGCTAGAGCCTTTGCCTTTTCCCAGCACAAGACTTCGGGGGAAATGCCAATGTCTTGGAGTCCATTTTTCACTAACCTGATAGCCAAGGGTAGGGGCACACATGTCTCTTCAGTGCATCATCTCCATTCCTGTTGGGATGTTTGCACCTTGGGCAACCTGGTACCCAAGTGCCTAGAGCCACTCAGTCCTGTGAGCTGATTTCCAGAGACTTCTGGAAGGTACCATAGTGACTTCACCACAGGCATGGCACTGAGTTGTGGTTATGTCACATACATATGATGGCCAGGATGGATGCCTTTTCCCAGGCCTTAGGGGTACTGGCTGCTGCATAGTGCTGGTCTTCTTGGATGGCTTAAGCTTGTCATATTACTTCTCAACAGTTAGTGCCTTGTCGGTGTAATTATGGCTTGTAGTGAGTAGTCATTTCTGTTAAGATTTCCTTGTTCAGGGGCTGGAGAGATGACTCAGCTGTTAAGAGCATTGACTGTTCTTTAGTGGGCCTGGGTTGTAGTCCCGGCACCCACATGGAGGCTGACAACTTTCTGTAACTCCAATCCCAGGGAACTCAACACACTCTTCTGGTCTCTTTGGTCACTGCA